GTAATAAAGGCTAAAATGAAAATTTTGGTGACAAGAGTGTAGAATATTCTCTTTCTCTTCTATAATATGAAAATTGCATCTGAATTTTTGTGTATTTTCAGAGGAAAAACTTAGACCAAACTTTCAAAAACAGTAAATAACTGAACAAAAACACAAACTAATGTGAAAAAAATAAGTTAAGGTCCTTTTCATGTTTATATACCTAAAAAAATAATGGATGTCTGAAGTATATGGTGGTTCAAATTCTAAATATAAACCTACTTCAAAATTTCACTAAAATAAATACTTCTGTTTTCTGTTTTGTTTGGCTTTTTTTTTTCTTTTTTTTTTTTGGTCTTTTTGAGACAGGGTCTCCCTATGGCCCCAGCTGTCCTGGAACTCACTATGTAGACCAGGCTGGCCTTGAACTCAGAGATCTCCCTGCCTCTACCTCCCAAGTGCTGGGATTATGGGCGTGCGCCACCATGCCCAGCTGTTTTCACCTTTTAAGTTGATGACATATTCTAGTTTAAACTTAATCTCTATTTCTACCACATACGATCAGCCTGTATTTTGAACCCATGTAATGCAGGTTAATACATTAAGCACTTCAAAAACTGCCTTAAATGCTGTAAGAGCCAGTCATTCATTTCAAATGCAATGTCTCATAGCTTTTAAAACAACAGTTGAGATCACATGTCTAATAATAGTTTATTTACTATAATAACCTTATTTTGTCAAATACAGAAACTGCCAAGCAATTTTTAAAGAACTACGACTTCTAAATTACAATATTATAGATTTTCTCAAATCTCTGTAAGATAAAGTTTACCAAATACTTGGTGGTTAAGTTAATCCAGCCATGAACATGTAACGATAATAAAAAGACAACACAGCTGCTATTTTAAATACTGAATCTACAAGTAAATTTTTACCTTGTATTTCTTTATAACAAGCACAATAATTGGGAAATATTAAAATTAATACATTTATGTAGGAGAGATAGACAGATTAAAAATCCTAGAAATGTACAGGAAAGAAATATAGCATAAGCTCATAAGGTATAATCTAACACAGGGTCAGGAGCTAAAATAAAAGAAAAACAATATGTCACAGAATTCGATAATACATGTATGTTCCAACTAAAACGAAAAACAGAAAAAAAAAGTTTCTCAGCACCGGACAAGAAATAATATGCATAAATATTAAGAAAATGCTAAATGAAAATATAGTACAAGATAAAAGGTTTCAATTTTTAAGATTTATAAAGAATATATAAGTACCTGTCATTAATAAATTATAAGCTTCTTGTTTGGAAATCTTCCCATGGAACCATCTTAAAAAAAGAACAAATTAGATATTTAAAACAAGTTCAGAAGTTCCTATTATCATATAATCAAAAGTAAAAAAAAAAAATTTCAACATTATTTTAATTCAAGCTGACATGCACTGCAAATGATCACATTATTTCATTTCATTTACATGTTGCATTTTGCAAACTTATTGTGCTTAACTTCAGCAAAATATAGAAATATAATTTCCATATTAATTACCAATATAAAAAAGCAGTGGTTTTCATTCCAATAACATCTGTTATATGCTTACTTCATAGCTATTTTTTCCTTTGGGAGACTGGGAGGATGGGCGAAATAATATAAGGGCGAAACCACTCTAGAACTGAACCCCTTTCAAACTAACTTTTCTTTCATTTCTCTCAAAATTAATTTTTTAACATGTTATAAGATTTCTCTTCCAATAAAATGACGTTAATATATACTTTATGGAAAGTAAGAAAATAAGATGGGACGAGAATAAGTGCACATTAACAGAAAGAACTAAAAGAAAAGACAGACCTTTTGTTTGTAATTCTACCTGAGCTAACAGCCTAATCAAACTACATTGCAAAAGTATTTTATATTGTTTATATATATGTATATATGTATATATATACATGTACATATATATATATACGTATATGTAAAAACTCAAGTACCTATCTTTACCTTCTCAAATAGCGACTTTTTTTTCGTCTTTTTTTGAAGCAGGGTCTCCCTGTAGCCCCAGCTGTCCTGCAACTCACTATCGTAGACCAGGCTGGCCTTGAACTCACAAGATCCACCTGCCTCTGTCTCCCAAGTGCTGGGACTACAGGCGTGTGCCACCACACCTGGCAACATCTCTTTTAAAATTACTTAAAAGGCAAAGCTCTAAAGATTTTCTTCTCATTTACATTATTCTATTATCTAGCTATCCACCATCTATCCTACTAATTAGCACGTTTTAATACCAAAAAAAAAAAAAAAAAAAAACTAGAGATAGCTGAAGTCAGGTTGTCAGGCTTGGCAACAAATGCCTTTACCTGAGCCATCTCGCTGGCCCCATAGATTCACATTCTTGCCCATATCAACTAGATAAAATGGTTACTCTAAAATAAGAAAAAATTTCCTAATTTTTTATGCCTCATAATATTATGTAATATTAAGGAATGAATGCCAACTGCCATTTACTACCACTTAGCTTGCTGTTTTCTGACAAGAGGGGAAAGAAATAGTTCAATGCACTGTGCTTGCTACTGAAGAGTAAGGAAGAAAAATTATTGTATTTGAAGAAAAGTGGGAATATATATACCCAATCTACTTCATTATGAATGATTCCTCCGACCATTAATTAGAATTTGCAAATGCTGATACGAGTACAGGAGAGACACAATCAGGTACAGTTGCAGTGATGAACTCACTTTTGTAGCTGTATAGAGTAATAATATAAAAAATATATGCTATGCATATATCCTATTCAGAAAGGACAGGGAACTAAGAGAACTATATGTAGAATATTCAATTTAATGCATTCTAACAGCTAGAAAACAAGAAAATCAAACATGAGTCAAGCTTTATATTCCATCCATAAATACTGACACAATGATTAGGAAAAAAACTGAAAAGATAATAGATGAATACTCTATTAAAATAATCTGAATAAAAGAGAATAATTAGAATTAATGGCTAAGATCTTTTAAAGAAAACTCGTAGACATAAAATCAATCAGAAGTTTATACAAAAAACACTTGCTGAATTATTATGAAAAATTCTCACCCACATGATAAAAACTGAATCAAAAAATTCATTAAAGATATAGCTACAAAAGTTTAAAATGCTACAAATAATGAAAAAGAAAATAAAGAGAAATATTAGGACCTATGCTATTAAGATATAAATGTAATATTTACCAGAAAGTCTTGAGTTGTATACAGGTAAAGGGCACCAGTTACTTAAAAGTAAAACTTTACCATCAGGGCCTGAAGAAAATATTTATATGCCACTTCTCTGAGCCCAATTACACACACACACACACACACACACACACACACACACACACACACGTATGTCAGTCCAAAAGCTGAAAATATTTTTAATATTTTTGGCCATTTTTTCCAATTTGTAGATTTAAAATAAATTATTTTGTTTTAGTAATTAATACACTCACATTTTTCCTTCATGTGGATCTTCTTCCCGGCCCTAAAGGGAAGACATTAGGACAGTATTTTATAAAATTAACTATTAATCTTTTAATTAAAATTCATAAGAATCCTATCTTCAAACTATCTCCACAATACTTTTCATATTTATTTGTATGAGAAGGACATCCAATAACCACCTCTCCATAACTCTGCTTTACTGTTCTCTCCTTGTAGCAATTAGTTTAATTCAGAGTCCTCCATCTCTTTTCACACACATTAAAGTAGACTATCTACAGTATAATTACAACTATGTCTTATTCCACCACTCAATCCAAATTCTTTAGTTTCAACTCTAAGTATGCAGTAAAGAAAAAACAAAGACACAAAATTGTAAAGCCAAACCTTTATTACCTTCTTTTCTGCCCACAAATTCCTTTCATTTTACAACCAAAACCCTGTACTATATAGGATTCAAGTCTGAATTTTCTGCTTCACACTGCCCACTTTCTAGGTACTTATGCCAGGGTCACACATAACTACTCATTTGCTAATCTACTTCCATTTACCACTGTAGCTGCTATTTTGTTTTCTTGTTTGTGCTTTCTTTTGTTTGTTATTGTTGCTATTAGAATGTCCTCTCAACTTCTATGTACTTACCTATTAGCTAAAACCAAATCATTCAGGCAAATATCTATCTTAAATCCTACCTCATCAGTGAAACATTTTGACCCTAAAACTTGAACATCTACTTTTCCTATGAATACAAAACACATCCTCTTTTCATCATCTTTTAAACTTTAATTTACCCTATTCTGTACTCTACTTTTTTTTTTTTTTTTTGGTCTTTTTGAGACAAGGTCTCCCTGTTGCCCCAGATGCCCTGGAACTCACTATGTAGACCAGGCTGGCCTTGAACTCACAGAGATGCGCCTGCGTCTGCCTCCTGAGTGCTGGGATTAAAGGTATGCGCCACCACACCCGGCTTTATTTATTTATTTATTTTTTATTATGTGTATTTGTATATTGCCTGCCTGTAGGTAAGTGCACCCATGTTGTGCAATGCCCACAGAGAACAGAAGAGGCTGTCGGTTCCCCTGGAACTGGAGAGGACAGCTGTTAGCTGCCATGTGGGTGCTGGAATTTGAACCCAGATCTTCTGCAAGAACAACCAGTGTTCTTAACTGCTGAGCCATCTCTCCAGCCCCTAAGTCTACATCATTTATAAACATCACCACCACTACTGTACACACAAGCAAAAGCTAAGTTCAAAGTTTTCACCGAGTATCTGCTGAACTGTAGTTCTAGTAGCTGACACTGAGTTTTCAATGAATGAATAATGAAGGAAAGAATAAAAAAATTTTCTAATTATACAAGGATTTACTTCTCTTAATTAGGCCCTTATTTATTATCTACTCAGCTAAAATCACACATTCAATAAAAGAATGCCTACTATATTCAAAGCAATATGCTAAAGAAACCATACACAATGAATATAATTACTGTCTTAAGAGAAATATATAATTAATTTTTAATTACAATGGAATATAGAGCCAAGCATTATGGAAACATGGGAAGAAACAATTTAGCTTAAGAGAATCTAGAAAGATATAAAATGGCTATAAAATAAGAAATTACATCTGAACCAAGCTGACAACAATGAATTAATTTTATGAGCCTATCTAGCAGACTGGGGATTTCAAAGAGGAAGTTATAGGCATATAGACATTCACCAACTCAATATTACTGAATATGTACTAATACCAGACAGTAGGAGTCTAGGCAATGGGGATACATCAATGAATCAAAACAAACAAAAATTCAGCTCTTCACATCAAGAGTTAAGGCTTAAGACTATGAATGTGCTTAGAGAATACTATTAGAATTTCAGAGAAGGAAATTCCTTAAATCCAACCACTAACCAAATACCTAAAAAACAATCTTCACTCTCTAGACAATGTCCAAAAGGCGTTTCAATCTACAAGGAATTCACTAACTTCCAATAAGCATATTGTGAAAAAACACTAAATATTAAACATTGCTAATATTTCTTAGAATTATTCCATGATTAATTCACAGTATTATATTCCTTTGTAGCTGCCACATCACAGTATTCTTTCATAACGAATTAACCTTTTCTTTTGCATTCTCTATATTTATGATAGGTAATGTCCTCCTATCTTTTTTATTTTTATTTTTTTGAGACAGGGTCTCTCTGTAGCCCCAGCTGGCCTGGAACACACTATGTAAACCAGGCTGTCCTCAAACTCACAGATAAATGCCTGCATCTGTCTCCCAAGTGCTAGAATTAAAGGCATGTGCCCCCACATCCAGTAATGTCTCCTACTTTATACTGACCTATACTTCATTCAATTTTATTTTCATAATCAAAATAGGTAAGAGTATTAATAGGTGAAAGAAAACCTAACCTTAAAAAAAAAATCTAAGAAAACTGGAAATACTAACAGTAAGATGTTTCAGTTGAACACTCCTGTCTGTAGGGAATAAATCTCTCTCCGATTGTAGAATTGTGAATACTATATTACAAATTACAAGTTGTAAGCCTAGATCTTTCACTGTGTATGTGACTGTAAATGTAGAAATGTAAAAATACATCATTTTCTCAACTCCTTCCACCCTTCTTCAGGGTGCTTTACATCTGTCAATCAACATCTAGTTGACAGAAAATGAGACAAAAGACTTAGAGCAAAGAAATTACTCTCTACTGCCATCTTTCTGGAGAAGTAATCAAAGCCCAAGTTTCAGCATTCACATCTGTAGTCTAATTTAAAAACTAGAGTTCAGGGAATTATAAAAGATCACAGAAAGCCATTCTTTCAACAAAGCAAATTACAAAGAGAAAAGTAAATTTTATAATATTTCATGCATTTTGGTGGTATTGAGTATTGTCTGTAAAGCATAAACATTTCTTGAGCACTGACCTGCATTTAAAAATATATGTGGTGATTAATACTGTATACTAAAATGAGTAATAATGTATTAGATGATGGCAAATAAGGGAATATTCAAACTGTAGTACCATGGGATAAAATATCTAATATATCTGAAAAACTAAGAATCTGAGACTAAGCATACAACCACTTGAGATTCCATTAGTCAAACATATTATCTGATGAGGAACAGGACTACAAGAAAAATATCAAAATAGGTACAAGTGGCAAGACAGTTTTAGTTCCAGAAAGCAAAGCAAACTTTGAAAATGGTGAACCATAACATGCAATACTCTTTTCTTTACAAATAAGTATGATTTACTAACACTAAATACACCTCAATAAAAATTCCTTGTGCTTATGAATTAAAGTCATAAAGGAAATTTGTTCATAGCAAATTATCCAGAAAATGGACAAGTTCTTATAAAGAACTAAGAATCTGAAATTCAGAAGAAAGGACGAAACTTACCACCTCCTCTACTAGGTCTTCAACAATAAGGCCTTGTTCATCTGTTCTTAGATTTGTAACCCACATCCATCCATCTTCTAACTCATTGTGAACAATGAACATATCTCCTTTTAAGAAACTAAAATAGAAAATATAACATTAAAAAAATTTAAACATGGATATGTGAATAGTCCTAAACTATCATACATTATGATATGAGAAAAATGCAAAAATCTGAGTTTTGTGCTGTTTCTTTCTTACTTTTTGGGGAAACTGAAGTTTTAATAATCTGAATCCTAATTTCTTCATATGTAAAATGAGTTTAAAAAGGGTACCTGCATTATTCGCTGCAAGATTAGATTCAAATTAGAATTCTTCTAAGTAGTAAGCATACAT